GCGAGAACTGATAGTTATGAAAAATTATCGCTACTAAATGTTTATTACTTTAAATATGTAACAGTCTTGCACTCTTTTCCGGCCAAACCTTAATCAAAAACCCACATTATATTCAGCCAGAGCTTGGCGGTGTTTATTAAAAATAAAAAAAAAATAAAATAATTGAAATTTTATTGCCAGCAACCGATATCGAACGATCGAAATCGTCGATTGAATAGTGCAGGGTGTTCATTCTTGAATGTATCAAAAAGGTTGAACCTAATCTTCTTTTTTTCGGGTTTTGTATGTGAAATGAACAAGAAAAAAATATGGCCGAAAAAAAATATGAATGGTTGCCTACCTGTTTATGTCGTTTATCATAGCGATTGGCGTCACCGTTGTCGTTACTGTAGTCACCAGCTATTTTAGTTCCAGCCTTGTTTTTATTGATTTTTAGTTTGAATTTCACCTCAAATAGAGAGAACGAGACAGAGCGAAAAAAAGCACACGATGAAAACAAGCCTCAATCGCTGGAGAAGTAATTCTTTCACCGAACCCAACAAACATCGTCTGTGGGCCGTCATTATATTTATGTACTTTTATATTATTATTTTTTTCCCTCGTCCATTTTTTTCTCACTCTCTTGCTTTTTTCCGTTTCACTCAGTTGTTATTCATTCATCAAGGCACAATATTGCCGTTCTTTTCGCATTATCATCATGTAAAATCACTATATAATTTGGCTGTAGTTCGCCCGAGTTTCGGAATTGATAAGACCAATGAAATGGAATGGACGAAAGAAAAGCGGTTATTCGGTAAACAATATGGTAAATGACGACGCCAATGGAATGAGTATGAACAATGAAAATCCCCACATTATTCGGTGCGTGTTCTGTATTCTCTCTCTCTCTCTCTATCGATTCCATGTACTTGTTACCATAAAGTACATGACTCGTCGAGTAATGCATTTCAAGTGAGACCTGTGCTTTTGCCAATTACTATTCGGTCTCGTTCTTTCTTTCTTCTTCTTCTTTTTCGTTTTTCCTCACTCGGTCGTCACACAAACGTGAACAAACGAAGCAATTTTTCATTTACAGTTCTTTTTTTTTTTGATTATATAGTTGTGTGAATCAAATGGAATAATAATATTAACCGGGCATTTAATGCTAAGTGGCGAAAATTCATAAAACAACGAAACTTTTTTTTTTGGAAATGCCCATAATTTTTGTTTTATAAAATTAACGGCATTTTTTAATTATAACAGAGGGGCAAATTAGCATAACCTCATTTCATTCTTCTGACTTGAAATGCAACACAAAGCAAAACGACCGCAATCGGTTTTGAAAAGAAAGAGACGGAATGTAACATGTAACATGTACCATGTACAAGCAATTTTCTTTGCGATAGAAATATAAAAGTTTGATAGGAAAAAAAAAACTAAACGGCTGACTCTCGGCTCCAACTCATATTACATATGTACTTATATGTTGTGCTTATTATGGAGAGAAAAAAAGGAAGAAAGAAATAAAGGACTAAACTATGAGCAAATATGCGCATACCTCATTTTCATTTTGAACGCTACCCCATGCCATCCAAATCGGTAATATTTTGGTATCGCCCGGTAATGCTTGTTCAACGTCACGCCATTTTTCAGTAATCACATAATCATTTAAATCACGCGACGCTGTGACATCTGAAATAGGCAAAAGCAATAGCAAAATGAGAACCAACTACCAACCACCATACAAAAAATCGAATACGAACAACAACAACAAAAAACAATACAGAGGAGAAAGGAGTGTAAAATAAAAAAAAAGCAGCAGTAGCAAAGTGCGGACACAAAATTTGCCTTTACGACAAAAATAAATAAATAAAAAATGCCATTTATTAAAATTGTGGCGACGGCGTCGAATGAACAAATGAACGAACGTTAACTGTTACACATATAGTGAGCACCACCAAAACCAACAATAAAACCTGACGACGTCGCGGTGTTGCAATGCTAAAAGGGGACCCAACATACATATAATTTTTTTACACTATTTTGGCCGATTTTTTCTATCGTTACAAGCGTTGCTTGCATTTAGAGCTTGAAACTATCCAACAGCGTGTAGTTTTTTTTAAATATATTTTTTCATTTTTTTCCTTCTTTATTATTTGCTTTCTCATGAATAAAAGTAACACAGGTGTTTGTGTTTGTGTGTGTGACGCGCGTGAGTGGAAAAGGGAAGGGGAAGGAGGAGGGCTAAGGCAAGATTGCTCCTGATTTAATTTCATCAAATTGTTTTTGGATGGAGTACATAACATTTTGATGCATGTAAAAATGCATTGCATATATACATCAACAATATTATGTGGCTTGGTCATCGTTTTAATTGTTTCCGTTTCGTCAATTAAAAGCCGTGCGACAACAATTGCTGTTGTCGCCGATGTCGACAACGGCTGATCAGACCCCAAAATGATTGTGTGTGCGCGTGTGGAATGCGTAAAACATTATTCTCATATCCAACACATTAGAGCTAAATCGCTTTTTTCGTTGTTGTTGTTGTTGTTATACTTGGCATGCAAACAAATCTTCTTTATGGAAATCACTCTGAATTGGAAAATAATTTGTTTTTTTTTTCTTTACTCTCTGGATAAAATTAACTCATTTACACAAACATGGGGACCCCATAATGTGGTGGCGGTGGCGGCAACGGCGGTAGCAGTGTTGGTGGTGGTGGTGGTTGATATGTGCGGTTTCGCGCTTGCCAAGAGCGAGAGAGGAACGGAAGAGAGTGCCCAACCATTCGTTCATTTGTTCGTTCATTTTGGATATCACCCATAATGACTATTTATGTACGAAACGACTTAGGAACAATTATGCTTACCGACTGTACTGCTGTTTAATTCATCGTCAATCAATGCTTGTATCAAATCACTGCATGTTGTGTTGTTTGTAATGCCTGATACGAATCTAGGTTCGCCACAAATCCAAATTGGAATTTCATTCTCTACCTAGTGTGTATTGGGCGTTCGGAGCGCCGTACCGGTGGAAGGAAAAGAATTTTTTTTTTCAATATTATATTCGATTGTACCCTCAATCCATTTTTCATGGTTAGTGTTGAAATGATTAAGTGAATCGGATATTTTCGAATGGAGAGGATTTGGTTTTTTTGTGTGCTTTTTTCGTCTTTGTAAAAAAAATTTTCCTTCCATTCTTTTACCATGTAATTTATGGACATTTGGTTATAAGTACAAGAATTTCAGACTCATATTGAAATGACCAAAGAATGAATAAACCCAACGAAGAATATCCTCAAACGAAAACTACTGCTTACAATTGATTTTGACTTGCTATATTCTATCTATGCGATAGGACAGCACATCGTAAATAGAGTTGTTATACGGTTGTTATTTCGTACCTGCTCGTATATCACTCGATCATATTTGTGTGTTGATTTGCCGGGCCTAATGATTTCATCCGTATAAGTGTTGTTTATACATATTTCAATGCAGTACGGTTCCTTTGGTATTGGACTGTAATGACTTAGTTCGTTGGATAGTTCGGTATTTTCGTGTAGCAATGTCGAATTTTGTGGAGCCATTTATAGTTTTGTGAGCGCAGCTATTTTCAACAATGTCTGAAATCAAAGAAAACGAAAATGTTTCAACAATTGGCGTAATAAAAAAAAAGCGGCAAGCAAGCGAACAAACAGCGAATCGAATCATAAGACATTAAATGCGAGGCAAACAGTCATTTTTACTAGCATTGTCACCGAATAGTAGTGAGTGAGTGAGTGAGTGAGACCATTTTCGCTGAATCGATTGAAGGTGCGCTAGGTCAACGTTCAGGAACCTGCTGAACGTAAATGAAATAAGAAAATGCGACGCGCCACTACATGGCAGCGACGACGATGACGACAACGATAACGATAGCAACAACAGCAGCAACATTGCTGATAACAGCAAAATAGAGAGAAAATAGACAATCATGTTGTAGCGAGGAAAGGAAGTAAAACACACTAAAGTGGAAACTTTATGATGCCCCAGTCTGGTTTCAATTAATCATTTCGTGTATATCATACGGCGCTCGAATTCTTAGTTTGCAGTTGCCGTTGACTCCGTTGTCAGTGTTCATTCAAAATGTGTATTGGCAACCGAAACCAATTATTCATACGAGCAAAAGAAAATGTAGAGGGAAAAACGAAAACAACAATAACAACAACGGCATCAGTAGCAGAAACTTATTCCAAGCTTTTAATGCATGCAATCTCAATGCTGCTACCCTTTGCCATGTACTTTCAAGTCTCACGTAATTCGTTTTTTGCCGCTGTTAAGTTGGTTCAACGGAAATTTTTTCAGGGAATATTATGCAGCAGCGTTTTGTTCCAAGAAAATAACATGATTCCAAATGCGATAGCAAAAGTTTGGACAGAACGCCAAAAGACGGAGCATAGAACGGCGTGTTTGTTTCATGTGTGTCTATGTGTGTTCGTTTCTAGTTCATCAAACATTGCATATTCAACGGATCTATATTTATGCATAACAAAGGATAGGATACCATCGTATTATCCTTCATGTGACCGTACAAAAATTGCTGTTTGGAAACATTTAAATCCGCTATTTCCATCCACACCAAATTACGAAAATGTATTGCATTTTCGAAGCGAAATAATGTGTTTTATACGCTTGATCATAACGCAAAAGCCGAAGCTTTTTCGTTCAGTTCTTTGTTCGAACAGGAACAAACAAATACCATAACACTTAAATTACAGTTGAAGAATAGTCGTGCGGTTATTTCGGGTGTTCTTCGTGTGGCTCGAAAAAATGGGTTTATTTGACTCGAACTTCCTTTTTAATTTCCAATTCATGCATATAATAAAAATCGTTTCGTTTACAACAATCATTATTCATCCATTCACTCAGTCAAGACAGAAAAAAATTCAAATGTAAGGTGTAACATCACCCGCTCTCCCCCCACTACTGAGACCAAAAAATAGAAAGAAAAACTATCAAGAAAATGGGATACTCGCTGAAGCGAACAGCTCCATTCATTGTTTCGTTAAATAATAAATCGAGTGAGAACTTTCAAGTTTTGGTTTTTCGAGAAAATGAAACAATACGAGAAATCCTGGGTTTTCAATCAAAACCGGAACTAAAAATTTGCCAACAACAACAAAAATCTCACACGCACACACACTCATTCGTAAATGTCATTCAATTTAAAAGCAAATTTCGGATTGAAATCATAAAACGATTTCCAAATGTTGTGCGCGCGGCATTGTTTAATTGTATTTTTTTTTTATGGTTGACTAATTTTGGCGACAAACCCAAATAGACAAGCGTCAATGTCTATTTCTCACTGTCTACCACATTCACCCATTAACTCTCTCTCTCTCTTTCTCTCCTTCTACGCTATACTTCTGAAACGATTTTGCTTGTTTTGGCATTTGATATTGATATTGGTTGCACGCATGCCATACACCCCAGCGCGCAACATTTAATATCTCTGAGTATGATTGTTTCTTATTATTAAAACGGATAGATGAAGTCAGATAACGTCTGAATAGGACATTGTATACATACACCGTATATTGTGTGTGGTTGTGTATTTTGCGTTCATGTTTGAATGTTCGGGTATGTCATGCAGTCGCAGTTTTCATGTAGAATAAGCACGCTATCGTAGCAAATATGGCGTAGGTAAAATGACATCAAATATTGTTTTTGATCGCAATTGAGTGAGTGTATGCGTGTGTTTGTGTGTTCGTGTGTTCGTGTGTGTATTTTCGAGTTGGAACAATTCGAACGAAATTTTCCACGATTTTTTGTTGTTGTTACCCATTGGGTTGCTACATCAGGCCATTTAAGCCCATTAATTTCAAATTATACGTTAAAATTGATATAACTAAACAAACATACAATTTTCTCCTCGTCGACAACGAAAACTAACACCCCCGAATACGCATATCATTTGCAGTGAATTCTGTGTCTGTGTCTCTCTGTCTTGTCTCACACTGGATTTTGAATCGATTTGGGTGGTGTTATTTTGGTTTCATTCAATTTTCGTCGGATCACACATGCGTAGGCTACGCTATCCATTTGACTACAATCGCAATTGTCATCGAAAATAACAATGACTGACAACGGTGAAAGCATACATACATCGATCTATGCACTATGAAATATGGCACATAATCGCTCCACATGCCTTTGCAAGCTAAACCGCTTCGTTCGTTATACATAAACGCACACATGCGATATTGAGTTCAACGATACTGCTCAACACATGCTGGAAAACAGCGCCGCATCTATATATGGCACATTGTGTGCGTCGCCGTTACCAAAAATATCTAATAAAGCACACCTTTTAGATTCAGAAGCCACCATAAAAATCCAAAAAAAAACAACAACCATTTCTTCGGGTGCTTAGCTTAATTCGAAACATATGTATGTTAAATCGGTTGAAGGATAGGGTGGCTTGCGTACAGCATTCATGCGACAAGAAAAAGACAAAATAAAATAATGGCCAAATGAGACAATTGTTATTAATAAGTAATCCAGTGCTCACACATTTATTTACTCCAATGACACTTAAGCCAATTGAGATAGTGAATAAATAATGCACCAACGATCACCCTCTTACAGAGTCCCGATTGATTCTCATTTCATTCCCTCGCGCTTCAAACGAATTCGCACCAATTTTATGTGTTTATCTTCTTTTGATTGTTGTCCTTCTTGTGTGTGTTTTTTTTTTCGACTCCGACTATAAATTAAGAATTGACGTGGGAGACATTATGCATATACCGTTTGTTGATTTAATGTCAATGTTAAATTGTGGCACGAAAAGATCCACAGAATTTTCATAATACAACTGTGAATTCTCCCAGTGCCAAGATTTACCACCAACAACAAAATACGTACACACATTTCGCTGCGTTGAATGGCACCGCTTAGCTCACGTGTTAAACAAACACATAATATCAAACAAACTTAACGCGTTCTTTTCATTCCATCTCTCTCTCTCTCTTTCTCTCTCTCTCTCTCTCTTTCTCTCTCTCTCTCTCTCTCACACATTCTCTCTAGTAACACTCCAAATAAAAACAAACAACCCAAAATCATGGCCGCTATTTTTTTTTTACTGACTTTGCACCGCCTATTCTCTTGTCGGGAAAAATTGAATACGCTCACCTCAACGTACGTTTACGAATAATAGTATGCAATAATAAAACTAAGAGTAAGAGAACAATAAAAAATTACTTATTCTCTCAGTGAATTTATTTTCGGTGCGATGAACTAATTCAAAAGAAAGAGAAAATCAAGTGGATTTCAGTGCCAGAATTGATTGTTTTATGCAAACAAACAAATACATGGCGGCATGATCTTTCAATTGATCTACATAAAATGCAGGTGGAATGAGATTCATGTCGATTCAACGAAATATCTATGTCGAAACGGGCGAATTTTTACATGTGCACACATTCTTTTGTGACATTATATGTACTTGATGAAAATTATAATTTTTCATGTCTTTAAAAAGACTTAGAGTTTCAACGGTTTTATCTAAATATTCTCTTACATTGCAATTGATGGCCCCTTTACTTAAAAGCCGAAAATTCGTTCAAATTAAATATTTCAAGGATTATTGATATAATTTTTTTTTAGAAGCCAATAATTGCACAGCAGAAAATATCACGGTTTGTTGAAGTGTCGGAGAAATTATTCACAATAAAACACTCAAAATCTCATTCTCATTCAAAGTTTTGATCGTTTACATAATCACGATCAATAATGAAAATGAACGTGAAATGTTAGAGAACATAACAGAAAATTACTTCAACCGAACAAGAACGCATTGAAAAAAAGAAGAAGATAATAATAAAGTGTTGAAACAATCAAACAAAAACTGCACTTACTTGAACTTGTACAAATGTGATCCATTTGAAGTAAATGTTCTTGCCAGAGATTAGAACGTTTTAATAGAATATCAAGTCGAAGTCAATGAAACCACAAAATTATCATATACCAAGCGGCAATAAACAATTTTTCTTTTGTAAAAATTTATTCGTTTTTTTTTTCTATCTTCCTTTTTGATTTTTTCTGATCGTTTCAAATAATATCAAACTTATCACACCGAAAAACCAAAAAAAAAAAAATTATGATAAACTGAATGTTGAAGAAAAATGAACCGAAATCAAAAGTTCAAAAATGAATTTGAAAGAAAAATGGCCCAACGATATGTGGAGGAAAAAAAAGAAACTCACGAGCCACCAAATAGTGAACCGCATTCGCTGACCAAGTTTTATCGAATAAACTTTTCAACACTCGAAATCGAATATTGCGCGATTCTTTTTGGTCGACATCGAGTGCAATCAAACAAAAGTGGCGTTTTATGAACCGTTCGTAGGGCAATTTCCTACAGAAAATACGAAAGAAAGAGAGAAAAAACCACCACATTTCTTTCTCTCTCTCTCCCCCGCTTACACTGTACTCTCCTTCCCCCTTTAACTCTCTCTCTCTCTCTCTCTCTCTCTCTCTCTCTCTCTCTCTCTCTACACAAATGTCCTACGACTGGGAAATGTTTCCTTTTTGTGTAGCTCGATTTGCGTTTTGAGTGTGTGTTAAAACAAAAATCAAGCAAAATTACTTTTAATAACGTGCAATAAGCTCTCGTTTTTTTTATAATACTTTTATTTGTTCTGTTTAATGTATGCTCTTTGATATGTATCTAAGCATGTATAAGTATCAATATTCAATATACATACACGAAACGAATTTTCCGTTTTTCCTTTACTACCCGTACTACTTCTCTCTTTCTGGCTCTCTTCTGGTGTGGTTAATTTTGTACCGATGTGTGGTTTGAAGGAAGAAAGATTATCGCCACAAAACCAAGCGAGGAGAGAAAAAAACGATCATAAACCAGCCAATTCGTAGAGGTAACAAACAACAACAATGAAATCCCGAAAACACTTATTACAGAAAAAATTGTGAAAATGCGCGGATCACCAACAACACACGGTAAAGGTGTATGCAAAAGAAAGAAACAAAAAAAAAAACAGAACAGCCGATTTCTATGTTTCGTCTTTTACCGACGAAAAATTGAAAACTTTGTTTGGTTGTTTAGTATCCAGAGCAACGTGACCGGTATCCTTGACAACAAGTGACTAACTAAAACTATTTTGATATAAAATATATTGGCCGTTGAGCTGGTTGGCTGGCTGACTGGCAGAGGCGAATACCAACAAGGGTTTGGAATATCCGCTGTTCGAACGCGTGTTATTCTTCGGTTTCCTTTTGCTTACTATTTTATAGAATCGGAACTGTGGTTTTCGTCCACATGTGTGCGTGTGTATGTGTGCAAATGTGTTCTTTGGTTGTTGTGTATTGTTTTATTTTTTCTACTTCTGCTGTTCGTTTCATTTCTCGTGCATATTCATTTTTTTTTCTGCTACTCACTCACATGCTCTCTTTCGGCCCGCTTTCGAGCCGCACTCTTTTTAACGTATGCAAGAGACAGAACGCCATTGGAGCGTGTATACGAGCGTCATCGTCGTGTTTCACACACGACACAATAACAGAGAAAGAACTATTGAAGACAATAAAACCAGCCGTCGATATAATATTGGCGAGCGAATATACGTGTACATGTATATATATGTATGTAGGGCTCGAATGGTGCGGCAAACGAAGACACAATGATGGTGAACAAAAATTTCCTGCAAATGTATTGTGAAACATTGTAGTTACATTGCTACCGTCCAACAAAATGCATGTTTCAGTTTCGATGGTGCTTTTTTTTCTCCTTCTTGTTCTTCGTTCCTATTTTGTTTTCCTTCAAAATACACATGATTCGTTTATATTCTATGTATTATTGTAATCGTTCGCTTTTTATTTCATTCGATCGGTCGGTTGGTCGGTGCAAAAGGTGTATCATGTACCTGTTCAGCTGTGTGTATTCAATTCAGTTTTGTGCACATGTACGGTTGAGCGTACGAACTGCTGCTGCTGCTGCTGCTGCTGCTTAAAGAACAGCCACCGCTATATTATTATGCTTTATGTTCGTTTCGGCTGGTTCGCGCGCGCAATTTATTATGAAGTAATGGTATTTTCTGTTTTGTATTTCCACCCGAAAAAAACATTTGTTCCTTTTTTTCATTGAAAAAGACAGAGAAGGGAAGAGATAAAGAATGAGATAGGCTCGATGAAATCCGGCGCAAACAAATGCTTACAAAAATTAACATATGCACAATTTGGATGTTCACTCATGACTGTGTTAATTCGATAGCAGCTAGGTTTTATTGTTTTCCATAGAACCATTTCTTTGCATCAGGTACCGTGTGCATAGATTTTCATTTCAGGTGAGGTAAACTGGAATTGAAACATCCTTTTCTTCTTCATTGCATTTGAATGTAGATGTATGGCGCGCGCAAAATAACACCTTTTGAAATGCGGTGACATTTTTTTCTTTGGTTTCCATTTGAACCATCACACACTCTATGCTGCCGTCAAACAAAATGCGTTAATTTCCAATATCATTTTTACAAATCACAAAAAATGAGCCTACAGCAATCGCGTGTTATCGCTAATAATCGATGAAAAGACACCGTGTTACTCAAATTAATCGGTGCCGTTTTGGTGTACGGTGTTTGATATTGCCACTATTGTTGTTGTTGTTTTTGCTGTAGCTGCTGCTGAAATGGGGTTGTTTATTTGATAAAGGCATTATAAGTAGTGGTTTTGGATGCCATTAGTGAATCGAATTTTGGGCGACAACTACAATGTGTCGTGTTCGCTGAGCCTCGACCAAATTACACTTTATGTGCATTCCTTTCTCGCTCGTTCTCTCTCTCTCTCTCTCTCTCTCTCTCTCTCTCTCTCTCTCTTTCTTTCGTGTGTGAGAGTGTGACGCGGGGCGAGTTTTTTTTTCCTCATTTATATAAAGTCACACAACAGACATGCATTCAAACTCATTTAATATGCACATGAACAACAATGAGCTGCACATTTCCAGCGAAATAAAAAAAAGGTGTAATTTTCAGCGGGAAGTGTCGCAATTCAATTGAATAATGCAGATTTCATGAAGATTTGATTATTACCAAATTTAAAAGAAATAAACGAATGCAATGATCAATTTTCAGCGATCTCAGTTTGCAACATCTTCTGAAGTCGGCTCCCAACTGACGATTTTGTCGCCAGCATAATTCTTTGGCCAGAATGTTAATTTCTCAGACTTTGCTCGATATAATTGTCCCTTCTCTCGATTTGATACGCAAACACACATACACAAACACGCGATCAAACCCAAAACAGCATTAATTACGAATACTATTCAAGTGAATTACGCTTGCTACTCTCGTCATTGTAATTTTCTCCCCTTTTCTGGAACGCTCTCAATTTATATTCCTGTCGATTTGTTTACACATAGTTCATAAAAATACAACCAACTCGAGTTTCGATTCGGTTTCATATGTGTATGTGCGCATGCAAACATCAATTTATTAGGCAAATTAGTCATTCCTTTTTTTTCGGGCCAGAAATCCATTTCGGTTTGGATTTTTTTTTTTTGCTTTTGTTTTATTTCGTTTTGGTTTCGGTTTTGTTTGGTGTTTTGTTCAAACAAACGATGGCCGCTTACGAAACACTTGGCATTTTACCAAATACATTTGTTATGAATTGCTTCTGGAAATCCAAGAAATGCCCACTTATTTGACGAAAATGCTTATTATCCAACATATATTTCACTTTGGAACAATCATTACTTGCACCTGATCGTAATGCTAGAGTAATTAGCTCGTAAAATGTTTGACTTAATTATAGGCAAAAGTTCAATCTATGTAAGTACTCTGTAATATGTGCATTTATTTATACTTATTTTGTGTAAGTTTTGGCTAAATTTTTGGTCGAGCATTTTTTTTTATACTGAAGAAATATTTTATATATTTTGTGTGTTGAATCTGATGTCCAAAAGATGAACAATTGTTTCTTTTACAAATAAAGAGTCCCTAAGAAACTTTCGAAGGAATTAATACACGTCACTTGCCCGTATCCATACCTGTGTGAATATTAAGCAATCGCAATATCCCATGAAAAGTCAAATTCAGATTTGTGTAATAGGTTAGAATTCGATCGAACGAAATTTTATGACATTAATGAGTAATGATTAGAACCAAACGCAAGTATAAGGATAGGTCGATGAATATGCCAATGGTAAGATCAACGATGTGACCGTTGCAATAACTGTGTAGATCACATTCATATTGATTACTTGATTTTACAACAATTGATAATACACCCGTAGGTTTTTTTATGCGTATTGCCCTATTGGTCAAATTGTATTCAGTTCTCAAAAAAAATTATACTGATACATAAGTTGAAAGTCGCAATAATTCGACTCAGATACTTTGCGTGCATATTTTTGTACGAATTTTAAATTGTTTTTAATATTTTTGTTTTCGTATTTGAAATGTCGAAGAGTTACCCATAAATGTGTACATCAGAATGCTTCATTCATCAATTAAACATCGAACAATTTTCGATTTGTACCAAGAAAATGATCAACTGAAAAGAGTGATCCTTTTTATCATGAATGGATTAATAGTTATGAAATCTCTTTCTAGTATAAATCGCTCTGATGACTTGGAACTCAGTAAATTTTCGAAGAAATGCCAATACGGGTTGCACAGATGGAGAATTCAGCAAACGGATGCATTCAATTGAAATGCAAACTCTGATCTTTGTAATATTTTCAGAATACGATCGAAATTAAATCTATGGAAATCTGTTACTGCGATCGTAAAACTTGAAATAATTACCAATGGTCGAAACGTTAGTTTAACACGATAACCTTGTCACTAGGTTTGTTGCAACCACTGTATGACCACAGATGAAACTGAAATTCATTATGAAGGTTTTTCAATCAATAATAATTGTACTTGAGAAAATTTTCTGTTGAATATTATGCCTGATTCCTTTGTTTTCCATATTGTTTGCCATTTGAATCGGATTTGGCTGAAAAAAAAGATAAGCTTATAAAAGTAATAAGTAAAGTTATGTTATGATGTTGATTTTCACGAACTTCATCATTTCATTTCAATTGCCTACTTTTGTTCCGCAAAAATCCTTGTTTTTGAGATGTCAAAAGAAACAAAATTCTATACTTTTGTGATGCAATTTAGTTGATGACAGACAAAAGTTACAGGTCCTATGCATTTCACAGAAAAAAACTATGATGAAATGGTGAACCAAGTCAGACTCAATCTAGTGTGCACACAAATGTTGGATTATAAGATAATTGGGAATAGTATTTTTTTACCATGAACTTGTATAACATATTCAAAATGCCAAATGCACACACATGCCCTTTCTCTCTCTTTTCTTCCTCTCTTTCTGCATCGCATTCGTTTTTTACATTTCATTTTTAATTTCGTCATTGTCTCGCGCATACACATGCAGCAGCTATGCACAAGTGACCCAAAAGTATACATTCATTAAGAGGACATATGCTCTGGCGATTGAAAAAAAAGAAAGACGCGGCAAAAGATTGGTCGCTCGTATTTTAATAGCTCTATTGTACACCGCCTGGGATTAGAAAGACCGGTACGAATCGTAAATTTCTCATAAATACCGGAAGTTTTCAAAAACTATTCCTTTTGATCATAAATACATATTTCAATGCTCGAATAATAACCACTTCCACCTGCCGAATTTAAGCAACGATCTTCTAACTGTTTTTTTTTCTTGTTTTATTATTTCTTTCTTTCTTCCTTTCTCTTCGGTTTTTGTTTCTTGCTCATTCCTTTCGAATTCGGTGCGGGGAACAAACGCACAGATGCAATCCACCTGATAAATGGTTTCAACATATTGGAACCTGCAACATGTTAGATTTAAAAACCTTTTGCCACACATCAATAAATGCACCAAGAACATTTCAGTGAGCAAACATTTTGTGTATTTGTTATGTGAATGTGCGTAAAAAAAGGTGGAACGAAAATTACGAACAACGCACAAGAATAAAAGAGAACAATTGTTTCACGCTATGGTGGTTTTTTTCTTTATTCTGTTACGTCGTCGTTATTTCAACGTTTTCGCTATCCTGAACTAATTTAGTTGCACTCTGATGCATGCATGTGCGTGCGCGCGTACTTGAGCGCGCTTACGTATGCACACAATGTCCTAATATGCTGTTTACAGCTGCTCTCGTCGCGCCGCTGTTACTATTGCTACCATTCATTCGATCATGTCCAACTACATGCATTTGAATAATTGCGACTTTTTCGTTCAAAGGAATATGCTCCACTTTTCATACGTTTCAATCTCGTTCAATCTTGTTGTTTTGAATGTTTTTTTTATTTCTAAACAAATTTTGTTTGAGATTTTTTATTTTTCCCTAACCTTCTCCAGTATTATCTTGATCCTAGAGCTAATATTCACTGAATATACTTACAAATTCATTCATGTATGTTACCTTATTCATGGCTGATCGCGTTTTCGTTGTACAAATGAAACGCCAAAATTGGAGTCAATTTTTACAAAAATATATTTCATCTCATTTGTATATACATAGGGTGCAGGGTGTTCTGTCTTCAATGGTACCTCCAGTATTTCAGTAATGTGAACCAATGTGTCGAAAACAATTATTTAGCACTAAACAATTTCCGTTTTAAATATTCAGCTGTCATGTGATCACAAATACATTGAATTTGCTTATCAACAAATAGTAAATTTAGACAAAAAAAAGAAACAATCTCAAGTTTTGTGATATGATGCACATTGCAAAATATATAAATCTAACAAGAACCTCATCATCAATAATAGCTCCAACGGTAATAAGAATGTACCTGATATGTTTCAATATAAATGGGCTCATTATATTCAAAACATTTTTCATTTTTGACGATATGACAAAAAAAAATATCTGTAACATCTTTTGGCTCGTTTCGCAATTCGTATATATATAAACTGAGGTGTTTCAACAGAACAATCTGCCGAATCAGAAACTTAACAATTGAAGAAAAAAATAGTATCGTATTCGTTGTAAATAATCTATGTAGAAATTTTGGCAAGACAACAGGTAATATTTACTAAATATATTATTCATGTCATATTGACAAAAAGTTTCAATATCAAAATATTTGTCTAAAAAATATGTGTATTTGTGTGTGTTTTTGTGCCATTTGTCCAATTGAAATGAGAATTTGTTTTTAAAATTTTTGAAATCATACAAAACAGTCGCAACGCATTCCTTTTTGTTTGTTCATTGTGACAAACCAAAAAGTTTGAGTGCGTTGAAGGCGGTCGCCAAGGCCACATCTTCTGGTTTTTTACACATTAAGGCAGCAATCATTTCAACAATTGCCGGCAAGCTACAGGGCTCGTTTCGTTGAAATGTGCAATATCTGTATGGAGAAAGAAGAAATATTCGATTCATAATTTTCTGTGTCAGCTGATTTAATGATTCATCCTCAATGAAGCAGCGGACTTGTCGGCACACTCGTGGATTTAGCATTTCACTTGCTTTGGCGATTCGTAAGTTGCCGAAGCATCATATATGCAGTGCACACGATATTTAACGTGAAAACCTATATCTGCTACATCGAAGTTGGCCGAGGTATGATTTCGTTTGCGCGTAGCGCGTAAGCAATTCACTTGGGATATATAGTATATAGGGATTCACGTTATATCGCAAGTAAATTGCTTATGCGACGCGCAAACGAAATCATACCTCGGCCAACTTCGATGTAGCGAATATAGGTTTTCACGTTAAATATCGAGTGCACTGCATATATGATGCTTCGGCAACTCACGAATCGCCAAAGCAAGTGAAATGCTAAATCTACGAGTGTGCCGACAAGTCCGCTGCTTCATTGAGTCATTGTTCACGGAATTGAAAATGGCTAAACCGACCTATGTAAAAAGAGTTGTGAGCGTTCAGTGATACCAGTTTTAACGTGTTGTGGAAGTTTGGAAGCACGAGTATTGGGATACATGAACGGAGCATCACTTTCGACCAAAATTTTCTCGAGCGGCAATTCACCGCCTTCGAGCAATTTTCGAACACCCGTATCAGATTTATCCTGTCAACATTTGAGAACAAAACACAAACATTACCCATTATTCTATGATGGATGATCTTTTTTACGGTAATCTGAATATTTACTAGAAATTGAAAAAGAAGAAAAATTTAATATTAAAATGGCTTTTCTTACTTTGCAGAGATAGCCAGTGAAACCCAAGTAATAGTCTCGAGACAAATACACTAAAGCGTCTTCAGTTGAGCCCATAAAACCACGAATTACTATCTGTGTTATGCTTGGGAATCTATGGAAATAGAAGAAACAAACGTCTTTAGCATATCATTCGTTCAGATTTTTTTTATCTTGTTCGATTCAGTTCACGTACTTTGAGAGTATATTCAAAACATCTTCCTGAGCAGATCGTTCGTGTATCAAAACTGGCTTTTTCAATTGAATCGCTAATTCTAGTTGCTTTTCGAATATTTGTTTTTGCACATTGGGCTCGGAGAAATCTCTTTGGTAATCTAATCCGCACGGACCGATCGCTACACATTCTGGTTGATTCGCTATTGATTCGTATTCCACCCAGCTCTCTGGCTCCTCAATCACCGATTTGGAATCAAGGGGATGAATACCTAAAAATGGACAGATTGCGTTATTGACACTTTGAGACAGAGGTGGAAAACTCGATTGAAAATGAATATATATGACGGCCTGAGAAGAAAAACCTTTCCTACAAAACCTGTGCGCAGAACACAAACACAGAACTTTTTTAGTCAAAAGGCGAACAGCAAATTTGCGAGCGCAAAAACCTAATATATTTACAGCGAGCGCAAAAG